CCAAAATACCATAAAGAAATAGTTCCATCGCTGTAAAAATTCCTGTGTGTAGCCACTTTGTAATCATCACCACTCTTTCAACCCTCAAACAATCATTGGTCTATTTTCCACATAGTTTTGCCTTTTATATGTTGTCATATAAATGAGACAATGTATAGTTTTTTAAGTCTGGCTTTTTTTCCATTTCTAAGATGGATTCATGATTCATTCATTTTGTTAGATGAATCAAAATTTATTTTTATTGCTAATTACTTCTCCATTGTATGGGTATATCACAATTTATCTATTTACTTGTTGAACATTTTGGTAGTTTCCAGTATTTGGCAGTTATGGATAAGGTGGCTATAAATATTTATGCATAGGTTTTTGTGCAACCAAAAGTTTTCAGTTTACTTGGGTAAATGCATAGGAATGGGATTGAGAGGGAGGTTGTATAGTAGGTATAACCAACTTTATAGGAAACAGCCAAACTGGCAAAGTAGCAGTACCATTTTTTTCATTCTCATCACAATTTAATGGGAGTCTGTTGCTCCACATCCTTGATAATATTTGTAATTGTCAGGGTTTTTTAGTCCATTCTAATAGGTATGTAGTGGTAGCTCAATGTGGTTTTAATTTGCATTTTCCTAATGATTAATAATGTTAAGTTTTCATGTCTTTACTTCCCAGCCATATATCTTATATGGTGCAGTGTCTGTCCAGAACTTTTGCACATTTTTAAATCGGAATTTTTTCTTTTTTCTTTTTATTGAGCTTTGATAGTTCTTTATATATTCTGGATACAAGTCCTTTATCAGATACTTTTGTTTTTGTTTGTTTGTTTTGTTTTTTTTGAGATGGAGTCTCAACTCTGTTGATCAGGCTGATGTGCAGTGATGTGATCTTGGCTCCCTGCAACCTCTACCTCCTGGGTTCAAGTGATTTTCCTGCCTCCGCCTCCCAAGAAGCTGGCACTACAGGCATGTGCCACCACGCCTGGCTAATTTTTGTGTTTTGGGTAGAAACTGGGTTTCACCATATTGACCAGGCTAGTCTCAAACCCTTGACCTCAGGTGATCCAACCGCCTTCAGCCTCCCAAAGTGCTGGGATTACAGGTGTGAGCCACTGCACCCAGCCTGGTTTTTTTTAAATGGTGTTTTAAAAAATTATTTTATTTTATTTAGAGACAAGGTCTTGCTCTGTTACCCAGTCTGGTGTGCAGCAGAGTGGTCATAGCTCACTGCAACCTGGAAGGCAACACTTGCACATGAGTGATCCTCCTGCCTCAACCTCCTGAGTAGCTGGGACTACTGGTGCATGATACCACACCTGGCCAATTTTGTAATATTTTGTAGAACTGGGGTCTCACTATATTGCCCAGGCTGATCTTGAACTCCTGACCTCAAGCAATCCTCCTGCTGTGGCCTTCCAGGTTGCTGGGGTTACAGGTGTGACTCACCATGCCCAGCCTTAAAGGTGTCTTTCAAAGAGCTTAATTTTGATGAAGTCCAGTTTATCATTTTTAAAGCAATCAACATTTGGTGTTATGTCTAAAATATTTTGCCTAACCAAAGTTCACAAAAGTTTTCTCTTATGTGACTTACGGATTTCAGTTTTACTATTAGGTCTGGGATTCATTTTGAGCTAATTTTTGCATATGTTGCAAGATATGGCTCAAAGTTCATTTCTTTGCACCTGGATATCCAATTCTTCCAGCACCATTTGTTGAAAAGACTCCCTTCTCCACTGAATTGCCTTTGCACTTACTTTGTCAGATTTATACTTAAATATTTTATATTTTTAGTATAGGCAAATTACAATTCTAAAATTACAATTTCCAGTTTTTCACTGCTGGTACATAGAAATACAATTTATTTTTGTATATCGACCTATTCTGCTGCCTTGCTAAATGTACTTATTTGTTCTGATAGCTCTTTTAGGGTTTCTTTTATTTATTTATTTAGTTATTTATTTTATTATGCTTTAAGTTCTAGGGTACATGTGCACAATGTGCAGGTTTGTTACATATGTATACATGTGCCATGTTGGTGTGCTGCACCCATTACCTCATCATTTACATTAGGTATTTCTTTTCTTTTGGAAGTTTCTATACAGATAATAATGTCATCTGTTGATAGACATGGTCTTATTTCTTTCTATAATCTGCATGACATTTAAAACACTTTTTCTTTTTTTTTGGTCATGTTCTACTGAATAGGACTTCTAGTATAATATTGCATGGAAACGGTCAGAGCTGATATCTTTATGTTTTTTTCTGATCCTGAAGGACAAACATTCATTCTTTTGCCATAAGGTATGATGTTACCTGTAAGTTTTCTCTAGATGCTTTTTGTGAAGTTGAGGAAATATTGTTTCTAGTTTGTTGAATATTTTATTATGGATAAACGTTGAATTATAAACGCTTTTCTAACGTGCATCGAGATAATCATATGGTTTTTCTTCTTTAGTCTGTTGATGTAGTGAAGTATATTGACTAATTTTTGAAAGTGGAACCAAGCTTATATTCCTGGGATAAACCCCACTTGGCCATGATGTACTGTCATTTTTATATGTTTCTGGATTAATTTGCTAATGTTTTGTTCCAGGTTCATGAGGAATGATGTGAAGTTTTATTTATTTACTTTGTAATGTCTTTGGTATCAGGATAAGTCTGGCTTCATAAAGTGACTTGGGTAGTGATCCTTCCTTTTTTACCCTCTGGAGGGTTGTGTGTACTGTAATTAGTATTAGTTCTTCCTTAACTACTTGGGAGAAATCACTGATGAAGCCATCTCAGACTAGATTTTGTTCTGTTGGAATGTTTTTACCATGAATCTGTGTCTTTAGAAGATTTAGATTATTCATGTTTTCTATTCTTTCATAGTTTGTGCCTTTGAAGGAATTTGTCAGTTTGCCCAAGTTTTTGAATTTATGAGCTAAAGTTATTTGTAATATTAAAGACATTATCTTTTTAATGTCTTTAGGGTCTAATAGCTGCTTTTTCAATACGAAATTGGTATGGTGTCCTTCCAATATTGGTAATTTGTGTCATCTCTTTAAAACATTTTTCAGACTGCTAGAGGTTTATTTATCCATTTTATTGCATTTTTCAAAGAACCAGCTTTTGGGTTATTTTCTCTATTGTTTTCTATTTTCAATTTGATTAAGTTTTTGATCTTAATTATTTCATTTCTTCTGCTTGCTTTTGGTTACATTTGCATTTTTTTCTAGTTTCTTAAGGTTTTAGCTTCAATCTTTGATTGGAGGCTCTTTTTTTTTTTTTCTTTTGATTTTGGTTTTAATGCTATAAGTTTCTTTTCTTTTCTTCCCCCCCGCCCCCCCCTTTTTTTTTTTTTTTAGATAGAATCTCCCTCTGTTGCCCAGGCTGGATTGCAGTGGTGTGATCTCAGCTCACTGCAGCCTCCGCCTCCTGGGTTCAAGCAATTCTCATGCCTCAGCCTCCTAAGTATTTAAGCGATTCTCATGCCTCAGCCTCATGGGTAGCTGGGACTACAGGAGTGCACCACTATGACTGACTAATCTTTGTATTTTTAGTAGAGACAGGGTTATGCCATGTTGGCCAGGCTGGTCTTGAACTCTTGACCTCGGGTGATCTGCCTGCCTTGGCCTCCCAAAATGCTGGAATTACAGATGTGAGCCATTGCGCCCAGCCTACATTGCCTTCTAAAGACTGCTTTAGCTATATCATACAGATATTGATAAGTTGTGTTTTTATTTCCATTCAGTTTAAACATATTTTATAATTTTCTCTGTAACTTTTTGCCTAATGGCTCTTTTTGTAATGTGGGTTTTTTTTTCACATTTATTTTTTTTTTAATTTTTAAAATTTTGTTTAATTAAAAAAAAAAAAGGGAGACAGCATGGTACTGATATAAAAATAGGCATACAGACCAATGGAACAGAATAGAGAACCCAGAAATAAAACCCAAATACTTAACAGCCAACTAATCTTCCACAAAGCAAACAAAAACATGAAGTGGGGAAAGGACACCCTTTTCGACAAATGGTGCCGGGGTAATTGACTAGCCACATGTAGGAGAATGAAACTGGATCTTCATCTCTCACCTTATACAAAAAAAGCAACTCAAGATGGATTAAAGACTTAAATCTAAGACCTGAAACTGTAAAAATTCTAGAAGATAACATTGTAAAAACCCTTCTAGACATTGGCTTAGGCAAGGATTTCATGAGCAAAGACTCAAAAGCAAATGCAATAAAAACAAAGATAAATAGCTGGGACTTAATTAAACTAAAGAGCTTTTGCAAGACTAAAGAGCTTTTGCAGGACAAAAGGAACAGTTAGTAGAGTAAACAGACAACCCACAGAGTGGGAGAAAAATCTTCACAATCTATACATCTGATATAGGACTAATATCCAGAATCTACAATGAACTCAAATCGTAAGAAACAAACAATCCCATCGAGAAGTTGGCTAAGGACATGAATAGACAATTCTCAAAAGAAGATATACAAATGGCCAACAAACATATGAAAAAATGTTCAGTATCACTAATGATCAAGGAAATGCAAATCAAAACCACAATGTGATACCACCTTACTCCTCCAAGAATGGCCATAATCAAAAAATCAAAAAACAGTAGATGTTGGTGTGGATGTGGTGATCAGGGAACACTTCTACACTGCTGGTGGGAATGTAAACTAGTACAGTCACTATGGAAAACACTGTGGAGATTCCTTAAAGAACTAAAAGTAGAACTACCATTTGATCCAGCAATCCCACTTCAGGGTATCTACCCAGAGGAAAGGAAGTCATTATATGAAAAGGATACTTGCACACACATTTTTATAGTAGCACAATTCGCAAATGCAAAATTGTGGAACCAACCCAAATGCCCATCAATCAATGAGCAGATAAAGAAACTGTGATATATATATATGATGGAATACTGCTCAGCCATGAAAAGGAATGAATTAACAGCATTTGCAGCAACCTGGATGAGATTGGAGACTATTATTCTAAGTGAAGTGACTCAGGAATGGAAAACCAAACATTGTATGTTCTCACTGATATATAGGAGGTAAGCTATGAGGATGCAAAGGGGTAAGAATGATACAATGGACTTTGGGGACTTGGGGGGAAGTTTAGGAGGGGGGGCGTGGGATAAAAGACTACTAATAGGGTGCAGTGTATATTGCTTGGGTGATGCATGCACCAAAATCTCACAAATCACCACTAAAGAAATTACTCCTGTAACCAAACACAACCTGTACCCCAATAACTTATGGAAAAATTTAAAAGTTTTAAAACTTTTATTAATTTTTAAAATTTTGTTTAATTAAAAAAAAATAGAGACAGGGTCTCCCTATGTTACCCGGACTGTCTTGAACTCCTGGGCTTAAGGGATCCTCCTCCCTTGGCCTCCTAAAGTGCTAGGATTACAGGCTTGAGCCACCAGGCCCATCCATAATGTGTTGTTTGACTTCCAGATATTTGATTGTTTTCCAGAGAGTTCACTTTTTGATCTCTCACTTAATTTTGTTAGGTTTAGAGAACATACTTAGTATGGATGCAGTTATTTTGACTTTATTGAGGTTTGTTTTATTACCCAGAATATAGTGTATCTTGATGAATTTTCCATATGTACTAGTAAGAATGTATATTCTCCTGTTGTTGGAATGCTCTGTGTCAGGTCACGTGGCTGACATCTAGCTGATTTTCCATCTACTTATGCTATTGATTAATCTGAGAAGAGTGTTGACATGTTTGAGTGAAAGTCTGGATTTGTCTGTTTCCCCTTTCAGTTCTATCATTTTTTGCCTCATGAAGGCCTTTTGTTCAGCACATACATAGTTAGGATTCATAGATCCTATGCAACAAGTAAGTCCTTTTGGCCTCTATATCCTTCAGACTCATTTCAAAATCTCTAGCTCATGATAAAAAACCATTGGTGTATGAGAAAGAATATTTAAGTTGGATTGATCAGAAGCCCTGGCCCACTGCTGCTTCTTTGCCACTTAGTAACTGTGGCAGAATCTTTTGCCCTCTCTCATTTTCCTCATCGAAAATAATTAGGATTATAATGCTTACAAGATTCATATGAGAATAAATACAAAGTAGACTTGGAAAATACTTGTTACAAAGGCACAATTAAATATTTGTTGAACTTAGTACTTGCAGACACTGCCTGTTCTCTCCTCTTCATCACTGCTCTCTCTACCCTCCTCTGCTGTGCCAGGGAGCTTGCAATTTCTGTTTCTCAGACTCTCTTGTTATCTGTATTCCTGGTAATTCTGCTAAAAGTAGAGGTAGCAGTGGGAGAATGGAATCTTGGAAGAAGACACAGCCAGTCCATTTTTTGTTTGTTTGTTTGTTTGTTTGTTTGTTTTTTACAATCTACTCTCTCAGGCAATGGTGCAGCCACAGTGGAGATTTCATACATGAAAATGCTGAGACTGAAACTCAGGTGTTCTCACTACAAATTTTGCAGTGTTTCCCCAATATCCCATGTATTCATTTTCTATGACTGCTGTAACAAATTACCGCAAACTTATTGGCTTAAAATAACCCAAATACATACTGTTCTATAGTTCAGAAACCCAAATGGGTCACACTGGGCTAAAATCAAGACCAGACTTATTTACTCTTGCTAAATATGTCAAAGCCAACTAATTGACGAAGTATAATTTAAGCTTGGTCTTTTATTATATTCTACAGCTGAAAATCCAAGGCTGGACTAAAAAATCAGCAGGGCTGTATTTCTTTCTCCAGTCCCTAGGAGAGAGTCCATTTCCTTGCCCTTTTCACTTCTAGAGGCTGCCCACATTCCTTGGCTCATGACCTGTCCCTCTGCATAGTTACCAAAGTTGAGTCCAGTCCTTCTCATACTGCCATATCTCTGGTTCTCCCTCTGTCTACTACCTCTGTCTTAACTTTAAAGGACCCATTATTTACATTAGGCCTACCTGGATAATCCAAGATAATCTGCCTTTTTTTTTTTTTTTTTTTGAGACGGAGTCTCCTTTTGTCTGTTGCCCAGGCTGGGGTGCAGTGGCACGATCTCGGTTCACTGCAAGCTCCGCCTCCCGGGTTCCCGCCATTCTCCTGCCTCAGCCTCCCGAGTGGCTGGGACTACAGGTGCCCGCAGCACGCCCGGCTAATATTTTGTATTTTTAGTAGAGACGGGGTTTCACCATGTTAGCCAGGATGGTCTCCATCTCCTGACCTCGTGATCTGCCCGCCTCGGCCTCCCAAAGTGCTGGGATTACAGGGGTGAGCCACTGCGCCCGGCCAATCTGCCTGTTTCAAGTTCAGTTGACAAGCAACCTTACTTAGTATTGCCCTTAGCCATGTAGTATACTGTGGAGTCTAAAGCCGCTCCATCTTGGATGCAAATTCTCCATGTTGGCTTCTGATTAACCCCAGTTCCAGGAAGGCCTCTAAGGTTTCCAGTGTGTCTGTACCTTGTGTAAGGGCAGCTACTTAATATAAATCAGGCCCTTAGATCAAACAACCTTGATGTTAGTTTATTTCAATTGTTCTACACATTCCTTCTAACTTACTCTTAACTTACAAAAGTCTGGGGGATAATGGTATGGGCATCCACTATCTTATCTCACCACTGCCTGAGACCCAAATATCGCTTCTATTCAGAAGTCCCTATTAAATGTTTCTTTCTAAGAAACTAGATTTGTCAGCCACTTTCTTCAGCCTGTCAGCTTCCTTGGGCTTTGGCATAGGTCTGCACATACCATAATCACAGGTTCCAAGGATTAAGATGTGGACATATTTAGGCAGATGGGTCATAATTCTGATCCCACACCCCACTGTATCTCTTTTTTTAAGCTTTTTTTTTTTTTTTTTTTTGAGACAGAGTCTCACTCCATCACCAGGTTGGAGCGATCTCAACTCACTGCAACCTCTGCTTCGTGGGTTCAAGCAATTCTCCTGCCTCAGCCTCCCGAGTAGCTGGGATTATAGGTGTGCGCCACCATATCCAGCTAATTTTTGTATTTTTAGTAGAGATGGGGTTTCACCATGTTGGCCAGGTTGGTCTCCATCTCGTGACCTCGTGATCCACCTGCCTCGGCCTCCCAAAGTGCTGGGATTACAGGCGTGAGCCACCGCGCCCGGCCCACTGTATCTCTTTTTAAAATAGCTATTTAAAGAAGATGAAATACTGGGCGGATGCGGTGCCTCATGCCTGTAATCCCAGCACTTTGGGAGGCTGAGGCAGGTGGATCACCTGAGGTCAGGAGTTTGAAACCAGCCTGACTGACATGGTAAAACCCTGTCTCTACTAAAATTACAAAATTACCGGGGCATGGTGGCACATGTCTGTAATCTCAGTTACTCAGGAGACTGAGGCAGGAGAATTGCTTGAACCTCAGAGGCGGAGGTTGCAGTGAGCCAAGATCACGCCACTGTGCTCCAGCCTGGACAACAGGAACAAAACTCCATCTCAAATAATGATAATAATAATAATAATAATAATAATGACATATTGAAGAATACAGGGTTAGAAGTCACTCTTGCTACAACTACTAAGCAACCATTGTTATTGCTGGATAATATTAAATGATAATGAGCTATGCCCACTTTTTCGTTACATTCTGGCTAGCAATGTTTTCATTGTCTTAGGAAAGGCATATGGCAGAGCAGAAAGCAGAAATATTCTCTAAGTCTTTCTGAGTTTTGCTACTCAAAATCTCAAGTCCTTAGGAGGACTTGGTGGATTTTTTTGACATGGTAAGAATGTGACAAAGTAACATGAAGGTGGGAAGATTTTCTTCAGACATTAGGTCTGCTGGCAAGGGCTGGGGAATACTTTGGAAGAGATACTAAAAAGAAGTTGTGGGTTCCAAGATCAGAGAAGACTATTTCCTGCTTCCAGGCAATACCACTGTGAGGAATGACAGTAAATTGTGTCTAGTCAGATGGGACTTTAGAGCTAAGCAAAAGATTTCATGTCTCAAGAACAGCTTAGAAGTAGCAGAGACTCCACAGTCCTAAAAAGGCCATAAATTCAGGAAAGATGTGCTAACTGTTTGCACCAACAAAAGATTATCCAGAAAAACACAGCCCTAGAGCTCTGGTACCACCCAAGGGAGGAGGGCAATGGAAACCTCATAAAGTCCTAAAGCATTTGTAAAATCTGACCTAGTAGAATAGGATAGGCTGAAGCGTAGCTCAAAGTCTGAAATTAAGTTTTATCAAGAAATCAAAGAAAATTCTATATCTTTAACACTTTAATTTGTTGAATGGCACTCACACCTGGTACTTTGTACTTAATTTACCTGAAAGTAATTTTTTTCTGCTGAGTTCACAAAGTAAACTGTTTCCATGTTCAACACTGTCGATGAAGAGTAAGAATAATATTCCTCTTAGCAATCCTATGACAAATGAAACTGACTTAAAAATCTTCAACTGCAAAATGTAAGTCCAAATGTACATTATGTGGTAATCAGTTGGTTTTGACACATTTTAGGTGGAGGAAATAGTTGTCAGGAAGATCCAGGGAGATTTCATCTAAACCTGCTTAAAAATCTCCCCCTTAAAGTCTAATATTGTGACTTGATAACATTTTTATGAATGCTTTACTTTCCCTTAAAAGAAATTCTCTAAAATTGCTTTTTGATAGGTAATGACAGCATTTTAAACAAATAGCCTGAGATGGTGTTGCTTCATTTTCAATACTGTGTTCCAAAATGAAATTAGAGTTCTTCAGAGTAAAGATTATTTCTTGAATATCAAATTTAACTGAGGGAAAGTAGAAAACATCTTGGTAAATCTCAACTGAATGATTTGGGATTCCTCTGTACTAAGGAAGTAAGCTGATAAAGAAGGTGCTGTCTATAGGCAAATATTTTAAATGAAACCTTTGGATGCCACAGCCATTACAAATACAGGTGCTCCATAACTTTTGAAGGGGGCACCTCTGGATAAACCCACTGCAAGTTGAAAATATCATAAGTAAAAAATGCACTCAATACACCTAACCTACCAAACATCATAGCCTAGCCTACCTTAAACATACTTAGAACACTTACATTAGATGTAGATGGGCAAAATCATCTGGCA